AAAAAGGTTAGGAAGGAAACCGCATCAATATTAGAAAGAACCACTAACAGATAGTGGACTTGAGTATCTAATTTCCTGAAAAAACGTTTTAATAAGAAGGTTTTATGAATTAATACTGTGACACATCTATATATATTTATGTATAAATGTCAAATTTTTCTTTTATGTAAATGGCTTTTTCACCATTTCAACTTCTATGGGAAAAGATTGATAAACACCTCTATTTCAGATAAAGATGCATTATAGCTGTCACATATGGTCTGGTGCTTCTAATAAGTATTAAAAGACTCTTAATAAAATTCAAATAAGAATCTGCAATGTTATATGCCCTGACCTGGTATCTCGGCTTCAGTCATTTTCCCGCCACCATAAATATTTTCATGGTAGTTGTTTTGAAGCACTTTCCTTAATGGTACCCACAATTTATGAGTTTAAGCGCAGTACTAGATTGGCGGCTGGGTCTCATCAATTTAGACTTGAAATGGATAGATGCAACCGTAAGTTCTATGCAAACTGTTTCTGTTACAATTTTTGGATACATTATGTAACTAGTGACCTAGCCCAAATGACTTGACTCACTTTATAGTCCCCCAATAGAAGGTTAACCAATAAGAAGACGTAGAACATTCAATCCGTCGTGTATAAAGGCGGCCATTTTGTTTACCCTACCCGAATGTCCAGTTCCAGCTTGTCAAGCGAAGAGAAACAGAAGGACGAACTACGCTCTGCTACTTTACCGGGATATCCACTGCTAACCTGAAATACGCTTCCCTACTGTCTTCGAAATACTCACTGCTAACCTCTGGATTCTATACTCGAAGACGACCGTCATCATGAACAACAGTTTCGTCTTTCGCATTTCACGCTTGTAGCACTCACTTTTGGCTTCTTGCTTTTCAGTCAACTTTGATCTTCAAAGATTTAAATGCAATTTCAATCTTGTCTTCTTAATTCCTGTTCTTTTATTGTTCTCATTATTTATTAATATTTTCTCCTTCTCATTCTCTTGCACATGTGTTTTAGTGGTTTTATTGCCTTATTTGGAATTAAATGTTTAAGAAAAGATTTCCTTGCATTTTTTTTAAAGTGAGTATCCTTCTTAATCATTGCTAGCTCTCATTTTATTTCTGGTATAATGTTTAAATCCCACAGTCTTGTCATTTCTATTTCTAGATTCTTATATTTGGAGAGTTCGCGAAATTCTTTTCTCGAAATACTTTTATCAGATCTTATAATTATGTCTATTCGATATCATTTATGTTCACTGAAGTACCGTATTTCCGGCTTACAAGAGGCTTCGGCTTGAAAGACGCACCCTAATATTGGAAAGAAATTTCTAAGAAAAAAAAAGTCATTCTCATACAACAACACATTCACCATGCGTCCTTCAAACACTGACGCTACGTATTGTTTACATTAATCACTCGTTTGAATTTGTTTGTATGGCGATAACATACTAGTCAAGAGCAGAAAGGCTCCCGTCGCTGCTAGTAAACACAGCATGTTTAAGCTTGTGGTTCGGCTTCAGGAAGGTTTATAGTCTTGAAAATACTTGTAACAACGAAGTACTGAGGTTACATCATATAAAATGCTGAATTAGATAGATAGCTAACATTGTAGTGTAATGACTCAACATACAAATCCACGTCTCTATCAGTTAAGCCAATTAGGTGACCGTCCAAGCTTACTTGAACCTGGGCGTTGTCTTACATTTGTCGTAGAAGACGCACACGTATTTTTCAGGGTATTTTTAGGAAAAATAGTGCGTCTTGTAAGCCGGAAAATATGGTATTTCTTTTACTGTATATTGCCTATTACCTTTTATAATGCGTTCGTTTTGTATTGTAAAATCTCAACACAAACACCGTTACCAAGAATTGCTGGACATTTTTCTCATATCATTTTTCTGTATGGAGTAGGTTATCATATTGACGGTACTGACCAAGCCTATCATTTTTATCATTAAATTCATTTAGTGCTAGTTTAGAATAGGTAGATATTGGTGATCAATATTCTCCTCGGTGTGCGTACAGAAATGACACTTCATATCTATTCCATTGATTTAATCTTTTAATCCTTAATTAATTTAATCCTTAATCCTTAATTTAATTCTTTAGACTTTATGGTCTGGCGCTACAACATCACAAAGAAAGGGCTTCAACAATTAACAAAAAATCGCTCTCAACACCAGCAACAACAGAAATGAGTAGCACATGTAACAAGGAGAGGAAATAATGATATAAGCAAGATGTTGACATTCCACCTTTCTACAAAAAAAGGCTTGGAAGGAAACTCCCATCAATATGAGAAATATTAATAACAGGGAATTTGAGAAATCTAATTTTCTGAAAAACTGTTTTAATAAAAATATTTTATGCCGAAAGATTCCTTCACGGAAAAATCAATTTCCTCATTTTTCTTCTTCTTCTTATTCTTCTTCTTCTTATTATTATTATTAGTGGTAAATAATATAATAACATAATATATATATATATATATATATATATATATATATATATATATATATATATATTGGTCTAATTTTTGTATTGAGCACAATTTTCAAAAAAAGTAAATGCTTCAAACTGCAGATTTTTAATCCATTTGGTCTTTTCTCATTTGGATATATATATATATATATATATATATATATATATATATATAACAACATAAGATATGCAGATGACACAGTGTTGATGACAGACATAGAAAGCAAACCACAAAATTCCTACAGAAAATAGTGAAGGAAAGCAAGAAGAAAGGACCAGACATCAGTTGTATGTAGAAGGAATTTATATATTATATATATATATATATATATATATATATATATATATATATATATATATATATATATATGCATTGTCTCTTCAGGACGTTGACGATGAAGATTCTCCACAATCACAATTTCTTGTCCTTTGTAGCTCTCAATAAATGTTGTCTTTTCATCTCTCCCAAACCTTGCCCCGTCATCCATTCAATTAAGCTTACCAGGTAAGTTATGCAATGTTTTCATCTGTCTCGTTTACCTTCAATCTGTCCCGTGAGTAACAAATTTTCCAAACACTCTTTCCTTATTATGTGCCCTTGAAATTTCAACTCTCTCTTCCTGATATCAAGTATAAGAATCCTTTTGGTTTCCATTTTCTCTAATACTTCATCGTCGCTCCCATGTTCGGTTCATGGTATTCTCATCATCCTTCGGTAGAATCACATTTCTGTTGTTTCAAGTCTCTTCTTCAGCTGTGTGGAAATTGTCCAGCATTCTCTGCTGTATAGGATGATCGCTATTATTCAGTAATCCCTTCCTTGTTTCTAACGAAATTTTTTCTGTTACTTTATAATTTGCTTAGCTTTTGGAAGGCATCTTTAGCTGTCCCTACACGTATTCGAATTTAAGTGTCGCATTTTCCGTCCTCTGTTAGAACACTTCCCAGATATTTGAATTGTTGTACTTGTTTGATTTTGCTGACTCCAATCTGTAATTTGCATGTTAGGCTGTTCCTTTTGCTAACAACCATAAATTCCTTCTACTTACAATTGATGTTTAGTCCTTTCTGTCTTTCCTTGACTACCTTCTGTAGGAATTCTTGTAGTTTGCTTTCTATGACTGCCATCAACACTGTGTCATCTGCATATCTTATGTTGTTAAGATTGGAGCCACCAATAATGATAAGCCGGACTACTCCTTCTCTCAGAATAACCTTACTGTAAAGGTTGAATAAGTCTGGTAAGACGACAGATCCTTGTCTTACATCCCTTTCTATTTTTGTATATTTACTGAACTCATTTTCTATTTGTATGCGGGCGGGTTTCTACAAGTCTAGGGTGTAAATTATTCTAATATCCTTCCCAAATATGTCATCGTTACCTAGCAGTCGTAACAGTAATTTATCGAACGTTTTTGCCTAAACACAGGTATGCCTCCTTCTCCTCTCTTTCTGATAATCATTCGGAGCATAAATATTGTATTCCTTGTTCCAGTGTTTTGACGAACCCGCTCTATCTTCTCCTGTTCTTGTCATGTTTCAGGTCTGATTCTGCTGTGCGCTCTAGAATTCGGATAAGTTTTGTTTTATTGCTCAGAGGCCCTGATTAAGGAATCGGAGAGCCGAGTTCGAATTCCATTCAAGTTCATTCCATTAAATTACGTGCTAATATCCTTTGGCAAGGCATGGATACATCTCTGCTCCCCGCTGGCTATGGGTAAATAACAGGACAGTCCCTGAATTCCAAACGAGCAGAGTAAGGGTTAGGCTCCGTCAGGTTATCTTGCCCAAGATCTATCACTGCTACTACGACTGCAGTACATATATATATATATATATATATATATATACGTAAATGAAAAAACAATAAAAAATTATAGAAAAAGCCCTCAATACATAAAACGAAAAAGTACAGCAATTTAACGTAGCAGTCGCAACAATAATTTATCGAACGCTTTTGCCTAAACACAAGTACACCTCCTCCTCCTCCTCTCTTTATGCTATCATTCGGAGTATAAATATTGCATTCCTTGTTCCAGTGTCCTTGTTTAACTGCCCCTATGAGCCTCAAGGGATACAGGACTCGTGATTGTGTTATGGCTCATTGATATTTCTTATGTGCCTGGTAGGATGTTAGCAGACGTTGATTTTGAGCGACTTCGAGAAAAAAAAATTATTGTTCAAGCCAGAACTCTGCCATCGTCAATAGGTAAGCCTTTTGTGAATATTAGGATAATTTAGTTATTGTGTCTATCGACCATGTCAGGGTTTTTCTTCATACTTGATTTTTAAAGTTGGTTAGGTCATTCATTTTTGATTTTGGATTTTGCTGTTTTTCCACCTTCTTTGTTGGCATTGTGCTTTCCATTTTGACTGTATCATTTAGTTGCAGATATTGTTAGAATATTTTGACTGTCTTTAAGTATTGAATGTATGTTTTTAATTGATTCCTAATAATTGTCAGCAACATAGAATCTTCGACATTCTATCATTTATTAGTTCAAGGTATTT